ACAGGTTTAGGTTACCCCCAAATTCCTCATTCCAACGTGGAAGCAGTTTCACGAGGATTTTATAGTGTTACAGAAGAAAGAAAGTCATAAATCAAGGCAAGTTTAAAATACGTTGGTGGGTACACCAGACAGGAAAACACATTGAGATGGGGGAAACTTATAAAGGTCCAAGATGATATTTGATGACACTCTTAGCTTTCCACAGTACTGGATTCCAATCTGCTTATCAGTCTCTGCAGACAGACTCCTTCCAAGAGATTTTTTTTTTCATCAACTCATTTTACATCCTGGCCACAGCCTCCCCCACCTCCACACCTGCCCACTCCCCACCCTGCTTCCATCCCCAATCCCCTCCTCTTCCATCTTCATCCAGGAAAAGGGCAGGTCTCCTATGAGTATCAATAAAGCATGGCATATCAAGTTACTGTAAGACTAAGCACCTCTCCATGTTTTAAGGCTGGGCAAGGTGACCCAGTAGGAGGAGTAGGGTCCCAAAAGCCAGTGAAAGAGTCAGAGACAGCCTCTGCTCCCACTATTAGGAGTCCTACAAGGAACCAAGCTCCACAACTGTAACATGTATGCAGAGTGCCTAGGTCAGTCTCATGTAGGCTCCCTGGTTGTCGGTTCAGTCTCTGTGAGCCCTCGTGAGCCCAGTTAGTTGATTGTGTGAGACTTCCCACGGTGTTCTTGACCCCTCTGGCTCCTACACTCCTTTCTCCTCCTCCCCTGCAGGATTCCCAAACTCTACCTAATGTTTGGCTGTGGGTCTCTGCATCTGCCTCCATCAGTTGATGGATGGCGCCTCTCTGATGACAGTTGGGCCAGGCACCAACCTGGTCACAGGAGATGGCCAGTTTAGACTACTTATCCACTATTGCTAGGGGTCTAAGCTGGGGTCCTCCTTTGAGACTCTCATTATATATCCTTGGTTGTCCTGGAACTCACTATGTGCCTACCATCCTGTGCCTAAACATACTGTCATGGAACCAACAACCTTGGAGGACAAGAGGTAAAGCCTTCATTTTTCCCTGTAAAAGGACATTGTAAAGTTAGGTCTAGGAATGCAGGTCTGTTTAGATGCAGGATGGTATGCAGGAGAGAGCTGGACAATGAAGTCCGTTGTTCATTCTGTGAGTAGACACTGTAGGATTTCTCCTGGTGGGCTCTCAATGATAGTGTGCTTAGCATATTCAAGGCTCTGGGAGAAAAAAAGAATCTTAGCTATAGAGACACATGCCTAGAATCCCAGAACTTGGGAGTCTCAAACAGAAGGATGCAAAGTTCCAGGCCAACCTGAGCTATATGGCAAATCCTATTTTTTTTTAAGTGTGTGTGTTGGGGAGTGGGGAGAGCCTGGCATTGTGGCACATACCTTTAATCTCAGCACTCAAAAAGTAGAGGCCAGTCACCTGTGAGTTCTAGGCCAACTTGGTCTACAAAGCAAGGTCCAGGCCCGCCAGGGCTACACAGTGAGACCCTGTCTGAAAAGGGGGAGGGAGCTGGAGAAACGGCTCAGCAGTTAAGGGAGCTTCCTGACCTTTCAGAGGACACCAGTCCACTTCCCAGCACCTATGTTAGTACAATTGCCTGTAACTCCGGTTCCAGGGGATCGAACACCTTCAATTGCTGTTAGCACCCACATGCTATAAACAAACCCCAATGCAGACATACACATATACATATAATTAAAAATAAAACAGGTGTTTAAAAACAAAAACAAAACAAAGCCCCCAGATGGAGTAATACAGCCACATCCACCTTCCTGTTGGAGGGAGGGAGAACTGGGTGAGCATCAGGGGCTCTCCACCTGGGTTCAGAAGCCTCCAGGTGAGGCTCAACTCCCAGCCTTCCTGCCTTCCCCACAGGCCATCTTGGTGGCACCATGGGGCTAGTTCTGAGCTTTGGCACTGACGTCACATGACCTAGGGATTCCCCCGTAAAGCACAAGCTGGAAACACAGGAGCTGAGTTCCAGTCTCCGTTCTGTTACCGCTCTCCACGTGCATCCTGTAAGACTTTCCTTCCCATGGCTCCGCTGAAATCAGTAAATGCTGCCCCCCGGTTCAGGGTTCCCCCAGCTCTGGAGAACCCGCAGGGTGTGGGAAAGAACTAGAAACTTGGCAGATGGCCCTTTCACTCTTGCTCTAGGTTTTAATTTCCCTGTGTAATCAGTGGCTGACTTTGAAACTAGCTGTCAAGTCTCAATGAGGAAACTGAGGTCCAAGATTGGCAAGTTACACACTAGGAGCCACACCCCCAGCTTCCTCAGTTCCATTTCTCACCTCTTACCACATCCCTTCCATTTCCTGCTGGCTCCAGCCTAAGCCAGAGCACCTGGGACACTGAAGTGGGAAGAGTTCAAGTTTGAGGCCAGCCTGGGCTACATGAGACCACGTCCTTTTTTATCTTTTAGTTTTTTGTTTGTTTGTTTGTTTTGTTTTGTTTTGTTTTGTTTTGTTTTGTTTTTTGAGGCAGGGTCTCTCTGTGTAGCCTTGGATGTCCTTGCAGACTAAGCCAACTTCATAGAGATCTGCCTGCCTCCGTTCCTGAGTACTGGGATTAAATGTGTGTGCCTCTGTGCCTGGCTTGAGGCCCTGTCTTACCTAGATAGCTAGAGATAGAGAGATAGAGAGATAAAGAGATAGACAGACAGACCGACTGACCAACTGGTAGATGAGGTTCAAAAATAAAGCATTAAGGGCTAGCAAGATGGCTAAGTGAGTACAACATTTGCCATACAAGGCCAAGGATCTAGAATGGATCCCTAAACCTGAATAAAGGTGATAAAAGATCACTGACTCCACAGAGTTTTCCTCTGACTACCACATGTGCGCTTTGACACACATGCCCTATACACACACACACAAATTATAAAAAATTAATAATGATAATAATAATAATGATTAAGCAGGGAAAGGATAGAAAATGCAGAGACAAGTGGATGGTTTGGGTTGGGTTTCGAGGAGAATTGTGTAACTCCCACCTGAGGGAGAATTTTATTTGTGGGGTGGGCCATCTGAGAAGGTGAGACAGGAGTTAGCCGGGACCTTCAAAGAGTAAACTCTTCAGCTATCTGAGCACAGGAAGGAGGAGCAGCAAGTGCAAAGGCCCTGAGGATCTGCTGTTCTAAAAGCGACGAGGAGGCCGGTGTGGCAGAAGCATGTGCATGGGAGTAGAGAGAGCAAGATACGACAGCTGCAAAGCATCCCTTTGAGATAAGGTTCGTGTCAGGAGGGGATGAGCCGTGACCCCAGGGAAACCAAAAGGGAACAGGTCCAGGGCTCGGCATTCTGACAGGCAGAGTCACTTGGGCAATACTGGGCACAGCACTCCGGGTGCTAGAGCTGGCATAAAGTGAGGGCGCCTCCAACTGACGGTCAGGGGAAGTGATGCAGGCCGGAGGGACTGGTAGGGAAGGCCAGGGTCCAGAAGGCTGTAATCAGAGAGGTGATTTATTCATGAGGGGGACAGACAGTGGGAGGGCCAGTGGACAGAACTGAGGGAGGACCAAGGGCTGTGCTCCACGGTGGGAGTGGGGTGGCTGTGCAGAAGACCAGACCAATCTCTGTCCTTATCATCCCCTACCCCCCACCCCCCACACACACACATCAGAAATGGGTGGAGGAGATGCTCCTCCTGGGCACGGCAGCAGACACCTGACTGGACCAAGGTGTTCTGGTCCAGTGTCCCTTTCCTTCCCTGCAGCACTGGAACAGCTTCCACGACTTGGTATCTCCCTGGCACTGTGTCCCAGGCATCTTTGAGTGGACAGTGCTTAGGCAGAGCTGAGGAGCTGGGGTACCCGAAGGGGGAAGCCCCCTTGGTTTCTGTCTCACAGCGGGAAACCCCACAAGTCCCAAAAGGAAAGTGGGAGTTTGGGGAAGACCAAGAAACCCCCATGCTCTCTCAGAAGATGGGAAATCAAGGGTGTGGCTGAGAGCAGGGTTGTGCCAGAAAGGGATGCTGCGGTCAGGCTCCGTCCCTGCCCATGGTCTTCATGGTGCTGAAACACTGGGATTACTGTGGGTCGTGGCTGAGGCTTGAATCTCATACAGTCCCAAGCTGGCCACAGGCTGAACCTCAGTTCTGGTCATTGGTTGAGGTCTTATGCTAGCCTAAGCTTTCACCTCACCTGAGTCACGGCCTCAGTCAGAGGTTGCACAGCTCTGTCACTGAGGAAGCCCTAAGCCTAACACTGACCAGCCACAAGCAGAGGGTTCACTGATAGCTCTGGCCCCAAACACAGAGAGAGCACATACACTCACCCCAGACTAGGTACTGAGTTCAGCCCTAGTCCAAGTTCTGACCCTAGATATGGACTGAGCCCTAGTCCTGTGTGACTCTGTCCATAGACTGAGCCATTGTCTGAATAAAGCTGATCATGATAGCATGGCCTTGAGATGGGTCTCCTTCAGCCCTGACACTTGGTTACAGACACCTGAATGCCTTCCCTCAGTGCATCAAACTAGTCCCCGCCAGCCCCACACAGACTCATTCCTCACTATGGAGCTATGACTTCCCGCACACTCTTCAGCCATCTGGTAAACCAAATGAGGGTATGGATGAGTCAGCCCCACCAAGTCCCCTCTTATGGGTAATTCCCTTACCTGGCCATCTGTCATTCAAAGGACAATGGACTGGCAATGGCCCTTGGATACTAGTAACAGCAGAGATGTATGAGGAAGTTGGGTCTTTTGGGTCCCACCAATGGACAGAACTATGTGAGTGGACAGAGTCCCAGAGGTGGGGAGCTGAGGGAGGGGCTGGACCTGGGAGCCCAAACCGTGGATCTGGAGCTCAGATGGGCTGAAACCCTAGCTTCCCGCCACCCCCATGCTTCCCCCTCTGGGAAGGGAAATTACATTTCCCCATTTTAGAAGGGAAGACTCAGTGAGCAGAAAGCTGAAAGTACACGCACGACAGAAAGCGAAACTGGGCGCAGCCCCCAGTATAAGACCCCCCTGCCCAGGAGATGGCTGCACACAAAGGCTGGGCCCTGACATGGGCCAGGTGACAGGAGGCCTTGGCTGGCGTGAGTTGGAAGCTGGGACTGGGCAGAGGGGTGGGAGGTTTGGTGGAGCCTGGGAGAGTTTAACAGGTAGAGTTGGGGCAGAGGGCTGAGGGGCAACACTTTGGCTAAGCTAATGGACATGGCCGGCTGACCACAGCAATGAGCCTGGTGTGAGTGGGCAGGGGCTAGAGCAGTGGAATTACAGCTTTGCCCAGGCTGGACCAGTGACGGGACAGCTCGGCTGGGATGTGTAAGGAGGACTGGATAAGCAGGCTGGCCGAGAGTAGGACTATGTAGACAAATGAAGACTGAGAACTGAGGATAGTCAGAGGAACATGGGGGGTGGGGGAAGCTGGAATAAGTGGTGACTGGGACCAAGGGGGCAGCCCCTCTGAAGCTTAGAAGGTTGCCCAGTCTGCAGCTGGTAGCTGAGGAGCTAGGGACAGAACTGTAGGGAAAGGGGCAAGTGGCAGGACGGGGCAGGGACCAAGAGCTGGAGGACGAGGGCAGGATTCACTACAAAAGGGGTCTTGGAGTGTCCAGAACCTAGAGAGGTGGTAAGTGGGTATGAGTTAGAACAGCTTAGTCTGGGGTGTGATATTTACCAGGGCCCAAGGGTACATGCTTTGTCCTCATCCTAGAGCTAGGTAAAATTGTGTTTTGCTTTACTCTTCAGGATGCTAGAGAGTCAGAATGGTTCCCAAGCCAAGAAGCCTGAATGCCAGAGATCTCAGGCACTACCTACTTCTGAAAGTCCATTAACCTCTACCGAGGGCACTTAGAGGCGGCTTAGAGATTATGAATGGACAGAGAAGGGGCCTGGGGAGGAGCAGGAGTGGGGCTGGATTTGGGGATGGTTTTGGTTTGGGTTTCGAGGGGGAATTGTGTAACTCCCAATTGAGAAACCTCCGAAGACTGCCCTCTTCCCAGTGCCCCCACTCCGGAGCCCTGCTCCTCTCTTGGGAGCCTGGGACACAGAGATAAGACGTGACCTCCTCAAGGAGGAGTAGGAAGCTGACCTCCTCCCTCCCATGAGTGCCACCCCACCCCATGTCCCTTTGTACTACGCTGCTGGTTTACCCCAGAAGGGTTCCAGTGCATGATGGCTTACTGCCTTCCACCTGAGTCCCTGGAAGAGAGCCACTCACTGGCTTGGTTAGGTCTTCCCTATGGCCCTAGGTCAGTTCAAAGCACCAAAGCTGCCTGGGTGTGCCCAAGGAATCCTTGGCAGAACATGGTGTCCCCACTTCTGAGGCAGGTGGCTACTTCGTCTGAGTTCCCTGGGCAAGCATTCTGGCCTGTGTTTGGACGGATCTGGAATCTAATCCTGCCTCCCTGTTCCTCTCACTGTCTGACTTTGGCTAGTCATTTTACCCAATCTCAAGATCTTTCTCCACTGTAAAATGGAGAAAGTACTAGCGACCAGGCTACATGCATGCAGGTATGCAGGCAATTGACCAAGGGAGTTAGTGTGTGTGTGTGTGTGTGTGTGTGTGTGTGTGTGTGTGTGTGTGTGTGTCAAGATTCTACCTTTGTCTTCTTACAACAGTGGTACTTGTACAGAAATGGCACAGGGCAGCCTCTGTGGTCCAAATGGGGGTTCTGAGGGGGCAGCTTGAAGACGCCAGTGAAAGGGACTCAGAGCTTGTATAACTTGTATAACTTTCTCCAGGGGTCTCCATCTTGTCCCCTTTGCCCCTCTCTCCAGGGCTCAGCCTGCTGCTGCTACCCTTGCTTCTGGTACAAGCTGGTGCCTGGGGGTTCCCAACAGGCCCCCTGAGCCTGCAGGAGCTGCGCAGGGAATTCACAGTCAGCCTGTACCTTGCCAGGAAGCTGCTCTCTGAGGCGCAGGGCTATGTCCACAGCTTTGTGAGTCTCCCTGAGGCAATCGGGTCTGGAGGTGGGGACACCCCCGTGTCCCACTGGGCCCCACTAACAGAACTTGCCCTTCAGGCTGCATCTCGATTGCCAGGAGTGAGCTTGGACCTTCTGCCTCTGGGACACCATCTCCCCAATGTTTCCCTGACCTTCCAGGCATGGCGTCATCTGTCTGTGAGTGAAGGGCGCGGGCTTGGGAGACTGGCAATGAAGCATTGACATGGACAAGGGTTTGAGTGAATGTGGATCTGCAGATTTATGTGGTTAATATGCCTCCATAGAGGTGAAGCTGGAAGCCGAGGATAGTGGCACACATCTGTAACCCCGGTACTTGGGAGGCAGAGACTTCACTTTGAGAGAGAGAGAGAGATAGGAGAGGGACAAAGGGAGATGGAGCACACTGGAATTTGAAAATGGGAACAGGAAGATAGTGAGAATGACTTTGGGTGGAGGAAGAGGTGGGGCTGGGATTGAGATGAGATTGGGAAAGGAGGTAGTTGTGGGAAAGAGATGGGCTGGTCACTGGGAAGGGAGTTGGGGGTCAGGTCAGAGATGAGAAGACCGCTGTGGATATGGGTGAAAATTAGCCTGGGGATGTTAGAAGGGGGTGGAATGAGCAAACGATGGACACTGCAGAGGGAGTTGGGTTGGAGTGGGAACGAGGTAGCAAAGCAGGTAGAGATGTTGGAAAAGGGATGTGATTGACAAGTTGGATAGGGTAGCAAAGGAAGGAGTGGAATGAGGCTGTGGATGGAGGGAGATAAGCCGAGTTGAGGCCAGAGAAGAGTATGGGCCAAGAAGGAGATGGGATAGAGCTCAAAGCAATGGTGGGGGAACCCAAGAATAAAGTCAAGGAGGCAGCAAGATGGCTCGGTAGATAAAGGTGCTTGCTGTCAATCCCTGGGCTCCACGTGGTGGAAGAAGACCACCAATTTCAGCAAGTTGTCCTCTGACCTCCACAGGTGTGTGCACACATACACATACACACATGCTAAAAACAGACACAATGTAATAATATTTTGTTGTTTTTTTTGAGACAGGGTCTCACTATTTGCTCTGGCTGTCCTGGAACTCACTATGCAGACCAGGCTGGCCTCAAATTCACATCTACTTGCCTCTGCCTCCCGAGTGAGAGGGTTAAAGGCATGCACCACTGCGGCCGACACAATCAATTTTTTAAAGAGTAAATTTGAGGATGAAATGGAATCTGGAATGAAAAAGAGACCCACATAAAGCTGGGGCTGGGTTTGGGGTTCTGCAGGAGTCTCTTGACCATCCCCCCTCCCTTCAATAGGAACCAGAGAGACTCTGCTTCCTTTCCACCACACTTCGGCCCTTCCCTGCCCTGCTGGGAGTGCTGGGGAGCCAAGGGACCTGGACCAGCTCAGAGAGGGTGCAGCTGTGGGCCATGAGGCTGGATCTCCGGGACCTCCACAGGCACTTACGCTTCCAGGTAGAGTGCCCACTACACCCTTGGCCCCTGGTATTGACAAGCAAAATGGGCTCACTGGCTCCCTTTTGAAACACCCCTGTGAACCAGGTTGAGGAAGCCTGGGGAGACATTCCAGATCCTGTGAGTGAGTAGCAGCATCAGAGCCTGGCTCTGCCCCAAAGTCTCTGCCTGCTCTTGGGGACTGGACTCCAAGGAAAGAAGAACCTGGGGTCACCCGGGACAGACTCTGTCATCATCAGGCCCAATATCTGTTCTCCTCTCCCTCCAATTCTGACATTACTCAGATTCTCCTAGACATTTTGAAGGGCAATAGAATTTTTACCTTAGTAAAAGGAGAATAGAAAACGCAAGCAAGAGCAAGAAGTAGTTATGTCATACTTGCTGACTCTGAAAAAAAAATCCTAAATAGCAAAGAGGGACTTCCTGAGCAGCGCCCCCCCCCCAGGGTGACCCAGGAGATACAAACCCTGTTTGTAGCACCTTGCTCTACTATGGCCATTTTTTTAAGTAAAAAAAAAAATAGGTAAGGAGACTGGAGAGATGACTCAGTGGTTAACCCCACTGGCCTCTCTTCCAGAGGACCTGGGTTCAATTCTCAGCACTTACATGGCAGCTCACAACCATCAGTTCCAGGGGATCTGGTGCCTTTTCTCACCTCCTTGGAACCAGGCATGTAGGTGGTGCACAGACATACATGCAGGGGAAACACCCATACACATGAAATAAATGTAAAAGTTGATTTTTTTTTTTTTTTAAATCTAGTAAGCCAAAAGTGTGGTGATGCATTCCTGTAGTCCCAAACACTTGGCAGGCTGAGGCAAGAGGATTGTGAATTCAAGGCCATGCTGGAGTTACACAGGAAGAGTCTGCAAAAACAAACAAACACAAGAAACAGAGCTGGAGAGACAGCAGTTAAGAGCACTTGCTGTTCTCCCAGAGGACAAATGCTCACAAACATCCACAGTGCCAGTTTCAGGACATCCAGCACCCTCTTCTGGCCTCCAGGAACACCAGTCATGCAGGCAGTACACATGCTACATACAAGCAGGTAAAATGCTCATACACATGAAATAAAAATAAGTGAATCACTGAAAATTAAAAAAAAATATTTTTTTGGACTGGAAAGATAGCTCAGCAGTTAAGAGCACTGTTTACTCTTGCAAAGGACTCTAGTTTGAGTCCCAGCATCCACACAGTGGCTCACAACCATCCTGAACTCCAGTTCCAGGGACCTGATGCCTCTTCTCATCTCCTCAAGTACCGCACACATGTATTGCACATACATACAACTAGAGTACACACATACAAAAATAAATAATTTTAAAGGAAAAGGAAACAGAATAGCAGACTCAGATAAGATGTGAGACGCTGACACCAGAGGTCTGAGGTAGAGGCTGTCCAGAGCAATCACGGCCTGTGGTCACAGACGTCATTAGGAGGTGATGGATAACAGAAGGAATGGACTCTTAGGTTCGTGAGGTGGCACTGTGTGACCCATGGATCTTTTCTCACAGGTGCTGGCTGCAGGGTTCAACTGCTCGAAGGAGGAGGAGGAGGAGGAGGAGGAGGAGGAGGAGGAGGAGGAGGAGGAGGAGCTGCTCCTAGGGGCTCTGGATGGCCCCAGTCAGGTGTCATCCCAAGTGTCCTGGCCCCAGCTGCTCTATACCTACCAGCTCCTACACTCCTTGGAGCTTGTCCTGTCTCGGGCTGTCCGGGACCTGATGTTGTTGACCTTGCCCCAGCACCCAGGCCCGGCTTGGGGTTCCTAAACCTAGCTTCCAGCCCTCTGGAGGGACTTTTAAGCTCCCTTCCCACATCCACTAAGACTCTAAGGCTGGAGTCTGGCCGACAGTGCAGGACAGTCTCTGGCCCATCTGCCTTAGACCAGGCAGGGTTTCACTAGTCCCCAGCCCTGACCCAATAACTTAAAAGCCCAACAGTCCTCACCAGATATTTATTTCTTGGATATTTATTTATTTTTAGAAAATGATGGTTTATTTATTGTTTCATTCTTGAGTTAGGCCACCATGCTGGGTGCCTAATAAAGCCCTCTGGCCCACTTTGTGTCTCCACGTCTTCACAGGAGTGTCTGACACCCACTGAGCAGGAGAGCTTGGGAACAGTCCGAAGCTTCTGCCTACCCAGAACCTCTCGCTACTTCTATGTTCTTGGAGTTCCTGCAACATTCCCCAACTCTGGCCTGGAGGTTACCATAGCAACCTGCAGTTGTGATATTGAGCTATCATTTTAGAAACTCAAAGCAACTGGTCTGCTGCCCACGGTCATTGACTCCAGGCAGCGCTCTTTCCTTTGGAGGGAGGGGGGCTTCCATCCCAGAGGTGTGTTATCTTACATAGCTCTCTGTGGGGCTCTAGCATGATGGGTAATTGGGGGGGGGGGGATCATACAGGGAAGATTTAGGGGAGAAGAGTCTTTCCAACCCCGTCTTCCTTGTGGTCTCCTGAGTAGCCGAGACAGATGGGAAAGGTGACCAGGGCAGGGACCTATGATAGATACCAATGGGGCAGGTGCCCCACCAGCTTACACTGGGGAATTAAACTCCTTAGATTCAAGGTCTTCATAAACATCTGGTTTAGCTGAGGCCCAGAGGGTAAAAATGATGTGTTCCAGTAGCTGAGGGAGTCAAGGGTAACAAGAGTGCAGCAGAGCGTTCTGACCCCTCCCTTAGGAGGCCTGTCTCACAAGGGCTCTAGGCCCTGTCACTGTGGCTTTGGCCGGCTCAGTCGGGTTTGCAGCTCCTGCATCATGCCGGGATGAGCGAAGCCAAACCTGTAGAAGGAACAGACCCATGGGAGCTGGACCCCAATGCCCACAGCCTCCTCACCAGCCCAAGTGTAGTGCCCCTGTGCCTACCCGTGTCCCAGCACTTTTTTCCTGGCTGGCATTGGAGTCCCTTCAGGCCTTGGGGCACTTAGCTCTGAAGTTTCCTCTGGTTGAAGAGGTGACGGCTCAGGGAACAGCTCCTCTTGGGGTTGGGGACTGGGAGGGTCATACTGCTGTGGCTCAGGAGCAGAGATTCGACGTAAAGAGGGCCTTGAGCGCCGCCGTGAGGAATTTCGTGAGAGAAGCACACGACTTCGAGGGACAGAGACATCCAGGCGGGACCCAGGGAGCAGGGCCTACAGGGCAAGGGACACAGACAACTGTGGAGAGCTGACTTCCAAATTCTGCTTGTCCCTCTCGGGGTCCTGCTAGAGTCCTCACCTCAGTCCAGTTGCTGTGAGCATCCCCTGGGGCACTTGCTGTGGCCCCCGCTGATTCAGAGAAGCCAGGCACGGCTAATGTGGGAATTTGGTGTGTCTGCTGGCCTGAGGTGTCCTCCAGAGCTTCTGGATCATTCTCCTGGATCTCTGTCCTCTGTGCTTCTCTCATGGCATCCTCCACGTCGCGTAGCTTTTGTGTCTCTCCCTCAGAGTTGTGGGCCCTCCACTCTCTTGATAGCCCTGCCCTAGCCTCCTCTTCCAACAGCATCTGATCTCCTAGGAGCCCCTCAGTCTCCATGATGGTTATAGACTTCTCAGTTCTCCCTGCCTGGGAGCCTAAAGTCACACCATCCATTCCCCTCATCCCTTCTGCCATCACAGATGTCCCTGTTTCTGCCTGCTCTCCCTCTCCAGTCCCACCAACTTCTTGGACATCATAGCCAGTCACCTTCTCCTCTACTGAGCCTTCTGAGCAAGCTTCGTGCTCACTTTGCTTCTCTGGAGCCTCTTCCAGCTCGGTGACTCCTCCAGTCTCCCCTCTGCCCTTGGAATGCCAGGCTCTCCCAAACTCCCCCTCTGGAGCCATCCCAGCTTCCCATTCTGGCCCTTCCTCAGCCCCCACAGTCCTGCTACCCAAGATAAACTCAGCAGCTGAAGAACTGGCCTGTGTGTCTTCACTGTCCTGTAGGCTCAGAGCTACCTCCTCCAGCCTCCTCTTCCTGCACGTTCTGTTTGCCTCCCAAGGCACCGCAGCCTCCCCCTCATCAGCCTTGATTTCTATGGGCCTGGACTCCCCCACTGACTGGCCTGTCTCTGCTTCTTGGCTTCCCTCCAGCTCCGGGCTCATTGCTATAGAGGCCAGTCCTGCCTCTGCTCCCCACCCTGGGACCTCTGGCTGTTGAGACTCCTGGCCTCCTTCAGCCTGGACCTCCACTGCCTGCCCTGTTGCAATCTCTTCCTCACCTGCTTCTTCAGCGTCTGCTTCTACCTCCTGGGTGTTTGTGCTGTCCACATCCCTTCTCCAGTTTCCCTGGGCTTCTAGCTCAGGACCTGCAAACCCCACAGGCCTGTGATAGTCCTCCAAATGTAGCATCCCCGCTGGGCTCAGGTCTGGAGCTCGCCTGGTCTCTTCCTGACCCTTCTGTCCTTCCTCAAGTTGTTCAGTCAAGGTCTGGGAACCTCTCCTCAGCTCAGGGTCCTGTCCTTCAGTGACTTCTACTCTCAATACCTCTTGTCTCATCTGAGCGGCCTCTCTTTTCTCTCCCACATACGATTCCTCAGGCCTGGCTTCTGGAGATTCTTCCAAGTCAGGCTCACCTTGAGCCTCCTTGTGCAGGGCTAGCACAGCTTCTGTGGCCCCAGAGCTCCTTTCCTCCCTGGGGGACTCCTCCGCCTGCAGCTCCTCTTCCAGACTCACCCCCTTCTCTCCAGTGGCTGAGTCTTGCCTTTGCTCATCCTCAGAGCTGCCCTGTGTCTCCTGGTCCCCCACAGCCTGCCTCCCTGCTGTCTGGCCTTCAGTCATCTCTCTGGTTCTCCCGGTCCCCAGGGTCTGGGTCTGATGTCTAGCTTCAGCCTCTCTCTTCTCATCGATCTCATCCTGCTGGCCTCCCTTGCAAGCCTCTTCTAGGACCCAGACTTTCCCAGTAGCTTCTGGGATGCTGTCTTCTGGGTCTGGCCCATATTCTGCTTCCTGAATGCCTAGGTTATCAGCCTCCTCCCTGCCTGAGGCTGTCCAGGCCTCTCTACCCAACATGGCCCAGTCCTCAGATTCTGCCTCTGGGTTTTGTGTCCCCTGTACCTTTGCCTCCATCATCAGGACCATCCTCTCTTCTTCCTTGTCAGCCCCTCTGGCCCCAAACCCCTCGGGTTCTGCATCCTTGGCCACCCAATCTGTCTCTTTGCTGTCCTCCGTTACCTTCTGCCCACCAATACCAGCATTCTCCTCAGGCTCCCTGTGCCAGGCTGGCTGTGACTCCACTCCCCTGGCCATCCCTGACTCTGCTGCTCTGACCACCGCATCCTTTTCTTCCTTCTGTTCACAGGTTCTCAGAGGCTCCCCACTGCTCACTTCCTGCTCACCGTGCACCCAGATCTCCTGGGCTCTGTTACTGCTCCTGTCTCTGTGAGTCCCAGGCCCTGCCTCAGGCTTCAGCAGAGCATTTGGCTCCTGGCCCCTGGCACCCTCAGCTGCCTTCCTGGACCCAGTGTCCTGCCTTTCTGCTTGGGGCCTTGGGGAGCTGTCTGCTCTCCACCCCCAGGTCTGCTCACCAGCTAAACTTCCTTCTTGGCATCTTATGATCTCTCTAGGAGCTCCTACCCTCTCGCCCTGGTCACTTCTAAATCCCTCCAGTGCCTCCTGGGCTTCCTCCTCTATAACCTTCCCTGGCTTCTCTGCGGCCACTTCCCCGGGCTCTTCAGCTGCCTGCGGCTCCCTCTCTACCGTGGGGACTGTATCTCCTATGAGGTAGGACACAAAAGCGCTGAAGGAATCCTAGAAGAGAGGAGAGCAGGGTGAAGACATTCAGGGAAAGTCTAGCCCTTTCCCCAGGGGCACTACTCCAAACAAGCCCAGGTAAGAAATCTGGGGTTGGAAATCTGTGTAAGGGCCAACATAGGGTCTATCCTGGAGTACATGCACGCACTGGCGGGGGCGGGAGATTGAAAGCCAGGAAAGACTGGAGTCTGGCTAGGAGTCTGGCTGACTGTAGGAAAGAAGCCTGAGGAGAGGCTCTAAGGGAGCGGGAAAGGCGGAACTACAGGAAACGGCCGGAAGCCTCTGGGATCCCCCCTCTCACCAGTGCTCCCCGCAAGGCCTGATGCAGCCCAGGGAGACGAAGCCGGAGAAAATCCATCCTGTAGGTCTCTGTGTGTCCAGAAAGCTCACAATGACCATCAGTCCCCACCCACTAATGCAAGCCAGTCCTCCCCAGCACCCAAGACACTTCCTCTTCCCTTGTCTCTCCCTGACGTATCTCCACCCCAGGCCCTGTGCACCTCCCCCATGCTCTAGGATGACTTCATGACAGGCAGGAAAATGGCTGTATAGTGTCCAGGTGACTCAGGCTCAGGTGCACACCTGGAGCTAAAGGGCAGAGGATCAGGCCAGAAAGGAAAAAGTGGGAACAGGAGACCTCAGAAGTAGGTATGGGGGAGGGGGCATGTGGCAAGTGCAGCCCGAGTGAGTCAGGTCTTATATTCACACCTCAGCCGTTTCCGTCTCCTCCAAGCCACAGCCTTCAGCGAGAGGAAGCTCGGGTTTGTGGTTCCTGATTTATCTGGGGAGAAGCAGTCGGAGTGAGGATAAGACCAGTGGAAGTTCTGGCTTCCCACTTCCATGCCACGAACACTTCTCTGAGGGGATGAAAAGCCTGGATTGGTGTCTCCAATGCCCGTGTCCTCAACTGTGGTTATTCTTGTACTGTGGCCATTAGTTACTCACAGCTTTCTGTGAGCTCCTTAAAAACAGAAACTGCAGAATTTCTAGAGCCCTGCATGGGTAGTAGGATCCCTTTTCTCACTGGTTGAGTGATCTAGGAAGAGCACCATAGAAGGGCATATTTCAAACAGCAATCTTAATGACTGGTGGTTGAAAAGAGCTGGGACAAGTGGGCACAGGCTGCTAGAAGCCATAACAGAGGAATGGGCTTGGTGAAGAGGGGCCAAGATGTTGCCCTACCATCGAGAGGAAGGTAAGGGACTCCTTAATTGGGACAATGTGAGGTGATGTATTCCAACTGCCCCCCCCCCACCTCATTTTCCTAATTTCCAATGAGGACAATTGGCTGACATCACAGAAGAGGAAATAGTCTTGCTCAGTGAACTCAGCCCTCTGCTCTATTTCTTAGTGCTAACGGGTCTCTAAAGTCACCTGCAGGTCTAATGCAGGATTAACACTGGGGGAAGGAGACCTTGGCTTTCTCATCTGTAAAACCAGGGATTGGACTACTTTCGTGATATTTGTTGGTTCTAAGGTAATATGCCAAAGGGAATTTCTTAATGCCTTGAATGTTGCCACAGATAATTCATGGGAACCTGTTTGGTGGGTGTTTTTAGCTTTCTAGGCAATCACTATTCTGAACTACCTCTCAGTTGCTTATTTTAGGTCTTTACAACAGTCTGTAAGGACAACAGATAAGAAGGACCTGAGGCTGGACGCCTTTGCTTCCAAGCAGAACTAGTCCTTGGGGAGTCGGGTGGGTCGTAGGACAGGAGTAGGAAAGTAGCCATATTTGTTTCAGGCAAGTGAGGGCAGCAGGAAAGGAGCTGAAGCCTCCCGCGCCATGACTAGTACTGGCACATTTGGTCAGCGTCTAGAGTGCTGCTTTTCGTGGCTCTGCTTGTGGCTCCCACCGTTCCAGTTCAAAACCAGTGCTTCCAAGGCCGTTCCGAACTCTCCTTTTCTCACTCCCGAAATTTGGGAAGGCCAAAGGCGAAAATAGGACCCGGAAGTAGGGGGGGCAACTTCTAAGCACGTGATGGGAGGCGCACTGGTCCTGACACGTGACCCTCCAACCTGCTACTCTACCTTGCTGAGAGCTCAGCTGCTCTTAAAGGTACAGGCCCGGGGGCGGGGGCTTTGCTTTAGAGGGGCTGGGGGCGGGGTCGGACGGGTGGAGCGGGGGTGGCCACGAGATGGAGATCCGGGGATCTGTTGATGGACGGTCCTGGGTAGCAGACAGCCAGACCTGGGCCTGACCACGGGGCGTTGATCCTTCGCACCCACCTGTCCCAGACTTTTATCTGTTCCCTTGAAGCCAACTCCGAACACACGCTGACTCTGAGCCCTTTGGGGCACCCGAACTCGATGCTATGGGAAGCTCTGCGGGCTCGTGGAGGGGCCTTGAGGATTCTGAGAGTGAGTACCCTTGTTGGTTGTCATGGTAACGACCACCTCTGCTCCGCGACACTCCTGAGGAGCTCGGAAACTGGCCGGACCCCCGCAACAGGATACAAAACACTTGGGGCCTTCGCGGACTGGAGTGAGTAGTGGGTCACGCCTTCTCTTCCTCCCAGGGGAGGAGACCGACTCAGAGCCCCAAGCCCCTCCGCTGGATGGTCAGAGTGCCCAGTGGAAGAATGCGGTGGGCTTCTGGTAAGTGGCCTCAGAGTTGTGCAAAAGTAAAGTGCGACTGGAAAGCGGGGAGAGTCAAGCTGCGGAGAGCAATTGAATCCGCAAATACTGAGTCAACTGGTTTGTCCTTGGCCACCTGTGAGCTTTCCAAATTCCATAAAATTAGCACCGTCACCTATTGAACACGGCCTCTTACAACCTGTAGCATTATTTAATGTTTTTCTCCAACCATCTAGATTGCAACTTTGTTATTTTTATTTTTGTATGGAAGGGTCTTTGTCCTGGGCCAGCCTTACACTCTACGGGCAGTGGAGGCTTGCCTTGAGTTTCTCTACGTTTGCCTTCCAGACGCGAGGTGACAGGCCTGTAGCACCATGCCCAGCTGCCCTGCGGCTTTTATTTGCAGTGTGGGGTATTGAAAGCAGGGCCTTCCAGATGCTCATGGAGCACTCCACAAGGGAGCTCTGTCCACAGCCCGTTTGTGTTTTCCTAACCCTGAGCACTGCTCTGGGAGATGGAAATAGAGCAATATGCTTTACGGATCAAAAGGAACCCTTGGTTTTATTTTGATTCCTCCAGCACTCTGAGGTCAGGTGAGAACTTGCCGCCATTTAACATAGGAGTACACTGAGGCCACAGAAGTAGGGAGAAACTGGCTTGGGTTTCAAGCCCTGGGTATTTCTATTGTACCACAGTATATCAATGCATCGATGAGAAATGTCCCCAGAACTGAATCTTAGTGCCAGCATAGAAGAAAGAGTGGGAAAGAATGGTCAGGGATATCTTCCTGGGAGAGCCTTGGCGCTTGGCATGAGCTACTCGAATTTCAAAGCCTTTGTTTCTAACCATGACACCCACAATGTTGGAGGAAAAAAAAAGAGAGAGAGAGAGGTTGGCGTTTGAAGGGAATGGGTAAGGGAGAGATCTTTAAGGACTATCGGTGGACAGAAAGTCAGAAAGTGAAGATCTCTCCTCATTCTAGGATCCTGGGTCTTTGCAACAATTTCTCATATGTGGTGATGCTGAGCGCTGCCCATGACATCCTTAAGCAGGAGCAAGCATCTGGGAACCAGAGCCATGTAAGTGAGCCCCTCTTCACCACCACCAACCAGGGCCAGAGGTCCCCTGAAAAGCTCATGAAGTAGCCATGGGTGGACCAAGGGAGTTAAAATCCCTAGTCTCCCATACCTCCAGGGCAGGAGGGATCCTGAAGACAACGGGTACCAGATTGGTGAACTCAACTACTGGCTGGGTAAGACCTTGTTTTGTGGTGTGTTTTTTCATCTGGGCCCTGTTGACATTTGGGGCTAGGTGACTGTTGTGGATCTGGCCTGCACATTGTAGGTGTTTAGTAGCATCCCATGCCTCTACCCACTAACAGCCAAAAGTGACAGCCAAGAATGTCTCCAGATGTTACAAATGTTGCTGGCAGGTAAAATCACCCCTGGTGCAGAACTTCTGGTCGTAATGATCTAGAAAATGCATGCCCCAAGAGGAGCAGCTTCCACTTTGCAGGTTCAATAGGGAATTTGGCCCAAGATAAGATTTTACAGAAACCCAGATTTCTATATGAATGCTCTTAAATATGTTATATCCATCTTGGGGGGTTATCGTTGGCCTGTGGGCCAATAGTTTGAGATGTTTATAAACACTCTCCTTCACTGTGCATGTAGAAAAACTAAGGCCCCAAGAAGTCCATGCCTACCCAAAGCTATCTGTCAAGGTAGGGCAGAGCTGGGACTGGGCCTTGTTTAACCTCTTGCTTCCTTGTAGGAAAGACTTTCTTCTCTCCCATAGGTGGAGCCGGGCCCAACACCCATGCCTCACAACAGCTCATCTCGATTTGATTGCAACTCCATCTCCACAGCTGTGAGTACCCATGAGGCCCCCATGATCCATGCCTTTGCACCCCCATTCCCTCTGCACCCAGTTGGGACTGTCAGGATTGCAATGACCAAGACTGCCAGTTGCTGGGGGGGTGGGGAGGGCCCTTTCTGTGAGTGGTAAATATCAGCTCAGGTAACCCCCATGGTGGCTTTGTGAACTAGGCAGGGCATATGTGTGCCCTCTGGGGCTGAGAAACTGAAGCCCAGAGCGTGTCAATGCCTTTACATCTGTCAGAGGAGCCCGACGCCGGGGAAGCTGGGAACAAACCCAGTCTGTCTAACTCGAGAGCCTCAACTTGCAGCAGGTCTCACTGGCTGGCTCCACTGCCGGGCTGGGAAGGTTATGTCTGGGAGGGTCTGGGTTCTTACTGTGTTTTCCTGTCTCAGGCAGTGCTCCTGGCAGACATCCTTCCCACCCTCGTCATCAAACTCCTGGCTCCTCTTGGCCTTCATTTGCTGCCCTACAGGTCTGGGTCAGGGTGGCAGGAGGAAGGCAGAGAGGGAGGTGGCGGGAGACTGGCGCGTCTCACATGGAGGTGGCCTTCTGAGTTCCTCTCTATCTCTTCTTAGCCCCCGGGTCCTTGTCAGTGGAGTTTGCTCTGCTGGAAGCTTTATCCTGGTTGCCTTTTCTCATTCAGTGGGGTTAAGCCTGTGTGGTGAGTATGCAGCTATGTGAGGTGGATGGGCCCCGAGAAGCCTCCACAGTGTGCTGTGGGAGTAGTCTCCCCAGCTTCCCAGAGTAAAAGGGTATGTCTGTAACCCCAGGAAACTGCTAGTGGTATTTGTTTGGGACACACATACATGCGCGCACACACACACACACACACACACACACACACACACACACACACACGTAATTCTAACACTTGAGAGACAGGAGGATTGCGAATTTGAGGTTAGTCTGGGCCATATAGTTCAAAGCTACCTTAGCTGCACAGCAAAATCCTGTCTCCAAAAAAAACAAGGAGAGTACCAGGCCAGGCTGATCTATAAGTTCCAGGCCAGCCTGGACTACATACTGAGACCTTGTCTCAAAACAAAACCCAAAACCTGCTAGAGCTTCCCAAACAAAGAGTGGGCTCTGGGAACAATTTGGAGGTGTTAACTTAGGAAGAGACGGGTGGACTGAGTATAGATTGGGCTGAGCAGGGTTGAATGATTGAGAGGATGAGGATGGGGTACGTGGAGGAGGGTGTGACTCTTTCAGATGAGACCCTACCTGGCCTGTCCAGTCTGTTTAGTGACAGATCTGTTTTTAGCCCGCTAAGCTGATAGAGAGATGAGGCTGTAATTAAACATTGTGGGGGACTGTGACCTTCAGTTAAAGCCACCGTATGCTTTTCGTCCTCCCAGGAGTGGTTTTGGCCAGCATCTCATCCGGTCTAGGAGAGGTCACCTTCCTCTCACTCACGGCCTTCTACCCCAGGTAAGCAGGCTGGGCAGGAAGGAAAGGGAGAGGAGTGCCCCCTGCTGGCTTCCGTCTTCCTAAATGCTCCTGTGTTCTCCTCAGAGCTGTGATCTCCTGGTGGTCCTCCGGTACTGGGGGTGCAGGGCTTCTTGGATCGCTGTCATACCTGGGACTCACCCAGGCTGGCCTTTCCCCGCAGCACACCCTACTTTCTATGTTGGGGATCCCTGTTCTGCTGCTGGCCAGGTGAGTGTCCTTGGGCCCAAAGGTCAAAACTACGGGAGGAGGAGCTTGATCCTAATCCGGTCTTCAGCTCTCTTCAGCCTTGTTGTGAGGGCATGTGGATTCTTGACTCTCGACAGCCCTCAGTTTGAGTGCCAGGGTGGGCATGTGTCAGCGTGTGACTCTGGCCAGCTTCATTCCTGACCCTCAGCTGTCCCCGCATCACAGTGCTTCTCCTTCCGTGTCAGCTGATGAATGTGACGCATCAGCACAGTGAGGCCCTGAGACTGGAGCTGGGACTGAGTGCACTCAGAGCACTTGCTCTGTGTGTGTTTGTGTGTAGTAGAAAACAGTATTAAGCCAGGAGTCGTGTGTGCCTTTAATCCCAGCACTCAGGAGGCAGAGGCAAGTGGATCTCTGAATTTGAGGCCAGCCTGGACTACATAATGAGTCCCAAGGACAGCCAGAGTTATATAATGAGACCCTGCCCCCCCATGAAAGAGAGAGAGAGAGAGAGAACATTAACTAGCTAGTTAAACCTGTAACTTCATGTTATAGCGTAGGACTGTTGTGGGGTAATCACCAGAGAATACTGCTCGGACATGAGTTTAGGTCAATAAAAAGTCCTTTTTAGCCAGCCGACCACTGCACTGGGTGTTCAGGATCTCAGAGTTGCACTGAGCCTTTCTCAGAGTGAACTTTTAAGCATACAAACCATGTCCTGGGTTGACATACTTCAGTTAACAAGAACAGTTAGCCAGAAGGGGAACTATGGAAGCTGAAAATTGAGGTTAGTACATTTAGAGACTTTCCCAGAACTATATGGACTTTGATGGATTAGGTCTTTGTTTTAGTTTTGGCAGGTGGTGCTGTCTGCATGCTGAATTTTATAGCCTGAATGGCACTTCCATCATGGAGTCAGTCATGCTAAGGTCCGGGGGCCTGTTACAAGGACAAGGCCACATAGAAAAAAGAAGTCAAGATGTGTGTAGTGTGAAAGCCTAGAATCTCAGCACTTGGGAGGCTGAAGCAGAGGGATCACATGTTGGAGATCCTAGTTCAAAAAATAAATATAGATAATTAGATATGATGGCAAATGCCTCTAATCCCAGCACTCAGGCAGCATAGGCAGGCAGATCTCTGTGAGTTCGAGGCCAGCCCAGTGTATATATATATCGAGATCCAGGCCATCCAAGCTACATAGTGAGACCCTGTCTCAGAAAAACTAAATAAAGAAAAAAAACCCATGACCATACAGGCTCTGGTTAAACTCAGTCACAAAACAAACAACACCCAGAAACAGACAAGAATATGAGAAAGGGACCCGTGAGGTGGGGGAGGTCACAGGTGTGGGAAGAAGACAGACAGGAGAGGGTGGGGTGGGAGAAACCAGAGTGCAGTATGTACATGTATAAACATGTCAAGGGACACATTTAATAAAAGCGACTGTGAAATGGTAAACATACAAGGAGTGGTTCTCGAGCAGTTGTTGAACAGTGAGAACCGGGCAATGGGATTGAGCTGCCACTGTGGACCCCGTCGACTGGGTCCCTGGCTGGAAACAGAGAGTCAAAGCTGGGTCCCAGAGGATGCGTTTGTCAACATTTGAGGCTCTCACAGCACAGGATCAGATACCTTAGGGGCTGTGAGTTCCTCATCTTTAAATACATACAAATGTGAAGGGGCCCCTGGAAGGGTGGCCTGCAGGACCTCTGGGGCTTTTCTGTCGGAACAAGAGTTCATGACTGTTGTTTTTCTGTTCCCTCCAGCTACTTCTTGTTGCTCACATCTCCTGAACCCCAGGACCCTGGAGGGGAAGATGAGGCAGAGACTGCTGCCCGGCAGCCACTTATAGGCACCGAGACCCCAGAGTCAAAGCCAGGTAGGAGACAAAGGCCCTCCCAGGGTCACTTGCCCCTTGGGATTTTGGTCTCAACAGTGGACACAGTTGAGAGGGACAGGCTGGGTGTACAGCTTTGGGTCAAAGCAGTCATGTGTCCATACTGACCACATGCCAGACATTCCAGTTACTGAGACCAGAGGTGTTCAGGATGAAGAAATCGGAACATTTTCACAGAACATAAAACAGTGATAGGGCCCAGAGTGGTGGCGCACACCTTTATTCCCAGCGCTTGGGAGGCAGTGGCAGGTGGATCTCTGTGAATTCAAGGCCAGCCTGGACTACAGAGCAAATTCCAAGATAGCCAGGACTACATAGAGAAACCCTGTCTCAAAAAACAAACAAACAAAAAAGCAGAGTCTCTTTGTGTGGCCTTGCTGGCCTGGAACTCACTCTGTAGACCAGAATGGCCTCGAATTCACAAGATCCACCTGCCTGTTTACCAAGTGCTAGGATTAAAGGCTTGTGCCACTATACACACCTGGCTATTTTTATATTTATTTATGTGTATGTGTTTTTCTGAATTTACACTGTGGATGTGTTGAGTGCTCACAGAGGCCAGAAGAAGACATCAGATCCCTTGGAGCTGCAGTTACAGGCAGTTGTGAACCACCTGATGTGGGTGTTGGGATTCTAATTCTAGTCCTCACGATGGAGCAACAAGTGCTCTTTTTTTTTTTTCTTGTTTGTTTCAAGTCAGAGTTTCTCTGTGTGGCCCTGGTTGTCTTGGAACTTGCTCTGTAGACCAGAGTGGCCTCAAATTCAAAGATCCACCTACCCCTGCCTCCTAAATGAGACTCTGTTTAAAAAAAAAAAAGCAAAAAATAAACCTCTTAGAATCCGCCAGCAGCAAGTGATCTTAACCTCCTAGCCATCTCTCCATCTCTGAGAAAGTCTTTATGTCTTTATTTAATGATTTATTTATTTTTATTTTATGTGCATTGATGTTTTGCTTGTGTTGTCTGTGTGAGGGATTGGAGCCCTTGGAACTGGAGTTACAGACAGTTGTGAGCTGCTATGTAGGTGTTGGGAATTGAACCCAGGTCCTCTGGTAGAGCAGTCAGTGCTCTTAGCGGATGAGCCATCTCTCCAACCCCCAAGAGAGCTTTTAAAAACAATAAACCAGCCGGGCGGTGGTGGCGCAAGCCGGGCGGTGGTGGCGCACGCCTTTAATCCCAGCACTCGGGAGGCAGAGCCAGGCGGATCTCTGTGAGTTCGAGGCCAGCCTCGACTACCAAGTGAGTTCCAGGAAAGGCGCAAAGCTACACAGAGAAACCCTGTCTCGAAAAACCAAAAAAAAAAAAAAAAAAACAATAAACCGTTGATTTACTGGGGGTGGGGTGAGCTGGGGGAAGGGCCTGTGCACAGATGCAGAGGTGAGAGGTTCTGGAAATGGAACTCCACTCCCTCAGCCTTGACAGCACCTGCTCTCCTCATCCACTGAGCCGTCTCATCAGCCCAAGAAGGCTTTTGGAAGGACATCTTTGGGCTGAAACTTGGCTGTCAAGGAGTCACCCTTGTGAATGTCTAGGTGAATGTGTTCCAGGCTCAAGAAACAGCTCTGCCTGAGGCCTTTTGATAGAAAAACAGTCTATTTTAGAAACAGCACAGCCAGTTTGAGAGTCTGAGATGAGGTCAGCAGCTAAAAGCTGTACACTGATGTACAGTCTTGCTCTTTTTTTAAAAAATCAGTTAAAATACACACACACTCGTGTGTATACATGTGTTCAAAGTATGAAATTTATCATTTTAGTCACTACTCAGTGTGCAACCCAGCGCCATTTAATACCAACACACTGCTGTGGTGGCTGGTTGCTTGCTGCATGATGGTGGCTAGCTAAGCATTCAGTGTGCAACCTCCTCCCCCTTTGTCCCTGCTCTCTAGGTTCCAGCTGGGACCTCTCGCTCCAGGAAAGGTGGACAGTGTTCAAGGTTTGGATGTTGGCTCTGGGTGCCCTGTGAGGAGCCTCTGCCTCCTGCTTTCCGCTTACGTCTTCCACTCTTCCAGGGCCTTTTGCGATATATCATCCCCTTGGTGCTGGTCTACTTTGCTGAGTATTTCATCAACCAGGGACTCGTGAGTGAGGGGTGCTGGGAAGGGGGTGTGGGAGGACAGTTAGGACCGAGGTCCACAAATCTCCACTTGTCTGGTCTTCGCTGCAGTTTGAGCTCCTGTTTTTCCGGAACACATCCCTGAGTCATGCTCAGCAGTACCGATGGTGAGAGAAGTTGGCAGGTGGGCAGTGGGCTAGAAGGACCCCTCGATGTTGGCGACCTGGGGTTAACCATAGGCACCCAGAGGAGCTTCCTCATCCTCCCTGCCCCCACCTCAGGTACCAGATGCTCTACCAGGCTGGCGTGTTCATCTCCCGCTCTTCTCTCCACTGCTGCCGCATCCGTCTCACCTGGGTCCTAACCCTGCTGCAGGTACTGAACCTCCGCCCTGTTCTCCGTTCTCAGCTTGGCTCCCAGCATCCCTCACTCAGCAGAAGATACTAGTGTGCCCTGCCATTCCTAAGTGTAGCACTGAACGTCAGCAGGGCTCCATGTGAAATGTGTGGCAGTATCAGAAGCCGGTCATACTTGTGGACAGATACCAGTTTCTGTACCGAATAGCTGTGTTACGCGGAGCAGGTCTCCAAACCTCTAATGAGCCTCAGTTTCCCCATCGAGAAATCAGATGTGGTGGGGCAGGATGTGTACCTCAGTGGCAGAGTGTTCGCCTAGTCTGTGTAAAGCTGTGGGTTCCATCTCTAGTACTGCAAAATTTTAAATATTTAATAGATGTGGGCAACAACTATTTCTCATAGTGTTTGTACAACAACATTGAGGGGAAAAATGGAAGACTAGGATATTGTTTTGGTTTATTTTGGTTTCATAGTTGTTGTTTTATTTTTTAGGTTTTTTTTTTTCTTTGTTTTTGAGACAGGATCTCACTGTGTTGTTCTGGTTGGCCTGGAATCCAATATGTAGACCAGGTTGGCTTGGAGCTCTTCCTCACAAATGCTGGGATTGAAGGCATGGACCATCATGCCTGGCCTTTAGTTGTTTGCTTGTTTTTATGGTCCTGTGATTGAACCTAGGGCCTTGTGCATGCTGGGTCAGTGCTCTTATTGAGGTACATCTTATACTTTCAGTTATTTATTTTTACAATTTAAAAATTTGTAATTAGATTTTTATTTACTTATTGGAGGAGGGGGGAAGGAGGCAGTTGCCAAGTGGTGTGCATGGAGGTCCGAGAAGAATTTGCAGGATTGGTCCTCTTCTTCCACATGCGGGTTCTAGGGATTAAACTCAGGTCATCAGGCTTGGGAGCAAGTGCCTTTACCCAGTGAGCCGTCTCATCAGCCTGGGCTTTTTATTTGGAGGCAAATCGTTTTTTGTTTCTTTTTTTTTTTTCCGAGCCGGGGTTTCTCTGTATAACAGTTCTGGCTGTCCTGGAACTCGCTCTGTAGACCAGGCTGGCTTCAAACTCAGAGATCTGCCTGCCTCTGCCTCCAAAAGTGCTGGGGCTGGGATTAAAGGTGTATGCCACTACGGCTGACTTATTTATTTTTTAACTAATATATATGTATTTTTATTGTATGTATGATATGTGGTGTGTGTGTGTGTGTGTGTGTGTGTGTGTGTGTGTGTGTGTGGGCACAGGGGTGTGCATATACTGGTCTGAATGTGGAAGCCAGGGAACAACTTTTAGTTGTCTCTCCTTCTGCTGGGTTTTGGGGCTCAAATTTAGGTTGTCAGACCTGCACAGCAAATGTCTTGACTTGCTGAACCATCTTGCCACACCCCACCCCCTGCCCCCAACTTAGTGGGTTTTGGTTTGAGTTTGTATGTGTATGGGTGGGTTTGTTGTTGTTGTTTTGCCTGCGTGCATGTCTATGCACCACATGCATACAGTGTCCACAAAAGCTGGAAGAGGGCATGGGATCCTCTGGAACTAGAGTTACAGATGGGTGTGAGCTGCCATGTGAGTACTGAGAACTGAACCCACATCCTTTGGAAAAGCAGCCAGTGTTCTTAACCACGGAGCCATCTCTCCAAGCTCCCACCTTCTGCTTTTTTGAGGCTGGTCTCACTATGTTGCCCAGGCTGATCTTGAACTTGATCCTCCTGCTTCCAGAGTGCTGGGATTTCAGGTGTATGTCCCTATGCCTGACTTGTACCACATTTTAATCAGTCAGAATATGTTTCGTGATTATTTGCCAATACTATATGCAAAGAAACATATTTTCAAATCAGACAGAGGCACACTATACCTATAAGGAAACCCTATTTCTTTTATGTTAGGTTAGGTTATTTAGAATAGAACCAGTGGCATTTTGGTCAAGTGAGTGTTCTTATCAGTGAATAATTGCTGGGAGCAAATTCAGCTGCCCTTAGCAAACAGAGATCTGTGGTTCTTAGTAAACATGGATCTCTGTAGCAGTCTCCCAAGAGGAGCCTCAGACACCAGCATTCATCTAGAGATCTACAGCCCTAAAGTGACTTTTAAACCTCTGACTACAGGTTGAGCATCCCTAATGTAAACATCTGAAACCCAAAATGCAAAATGTACTGAGTTGTATGACACCACAAATGCAAAATCCCACACCATGACACTTCGTTTCATAAGAAAAATTACTACAAATACTTTAGTAACTACCTTCAGGTCACATGTAGAAAGTATACATGAAAAATGAGTTTTACATTTAGACTCGGCTCTTATCCCCAAGATCTATCATTATGTATATGCAAATACTCCAAAGACCTAAAACATCTAAAATCTAAACTACTTCTGTCCCCAAGTGTGAAGGGATCCATTCCCTGCATTACAGAAAAGTACTTTGCCCTTAACATTGAAGAACTCAATTCATGGGGCTAAAGAGACAGTTCAGCGGGAGTTGATGCTTGCCACCAACCTAACCACCCAAGTTTGATCCTTGGAATCGACACGGTGGAAGGAGAAAAGTGACTCCCAGAAGTTGCCTTCTACCTCCACACAAATGTCATGTGCCACCCCTCAAAAAATATGTGTAATTAAAAACAGCCTAATGACCTGAGTGCAATACCAGGTCCCACGTGGTGGAAGAAGAGAACCAACTACTGAAAACTCTCTGATCTCCACACACATGTGTACTGGCACATACACACACTTATACACTCAAGAACAAAAAGTGTGCCGGACTGTGGTGGCACAGGCCTTTAATCCCAGCACTTGGAAGGCAGAGATAGGTGGATGTCTACACTGCCCGGCCAGTGTGTTCTTCTTAATGCAGATCTCTGAGCCCTCCGAGACTGACTCAGTGATGACTTTAGAAGGAGGAGGCCTTCCTGTCCCCTGGCTAACACATCCCCAGTTAATTCTTTGTACATGGATCCTCTGAGCCACCAGGTGACCAGGTGGTGACCCACACTTGAGGGAGGGCACACAGTGTCTTTGGATAGCAGAATCCTGCTGAAGAACCTGGGACAGAGGAGGAATTGGCACCCTCAAGTCGGGGTTCAAGGAGGCTTCTTGAAGTGAACCTGAAAACTGTGGTTTCTCAACTCCAGTACTCTTAAAATTTTTTGACTTAAAATTTTGAGACCAGGCCTCTCTATCTATGTATCCTTGACTGACCTGGAATGCACTATGTAGACCATGCTGGCCTCACACTCAGAAAGATTTGCCTGCCTCTGCCTCTGGAGTGCTGGGATTAAAGGTGTGCCACATCACTCCTGACCCTCTTTTCTTTTCTTTCTTTCTTTCTTTTTTTTTTTGTCAATTTATACATATGAATGTTTGCCTGCATGTATTTATGCAAACCACCTGTGTGCCTGGCACCTGTGGAGGACAGAAGGGTGTCAAATCCTCTGGAACAGGAGTTACAGATAGTTGTGAGCCACCATGTGGGTGCTGGGAACCAAACCTAGGTCCTCTGCAACAACAGCAAGTGTTGTTAACCACTGGGCCATCTTTCTAGTCCAGATTTTTGTGGTCATTCTGTTGAGTTGCTGTCTTGTACATTGTGGGGGTTTCGCAGTGTCCCTGGCTGGATGCAGGGAGACAGCTAGGGAGACCCACTGGTCTCAGTCCAGTCGTTAGGGGAGACTAGGGTACGTTCAGGGGGTCCCTGGGGTGCTGAAGGTAAGAGTCTGGTAGAGCACTGGCCTGTGGAGCACAAAGTCCTAACTTAGATCTGAGGGCGGGGTGTCTAGGTATAATGGTTCGTGCCATTAAGAAAAACAAAACACAGAGAGAGAGAGAGAGAGAGAAAAAGAAAAGAAAAGAAAAAGCAGGAAGGGAATGAGATGACCAAGGACCACAGTGGGAATGACCCTGGTCCAAGTTTAGAGGTCATCAGTGAGGGACGGTTGAGGAGCATCCAGGCTAGGAGTTAGGGGAGCAAAGGAAGGAGAGGAATCTACAAGGTGTATGGGGATGCGGATGGGGCCAGGGAAGGCCCATCAAGATCTCAGGGTCCTGCAGGGCCTGCTTGGCATTGGGATCCTACCCAGGCTTGTTAGTCCTTTCCTTCCCCAGCGTCTCCTATAGCCAGGCAGCTTTGAGACATGCTACCTCCATGCTGTGCTGTTGCCCAGTCTCAAGTCTCCTCTCCTTTGCCCACAGTGCCTCAACCTGGTCTTCCTACTGGCAGACGTATGTTTGAGCTTCCTGCCCAGCATCTACCTCATCTTCATCATCGTTCTGTATGAAGGGTTCCTGGGTGGGGCAGCCTATGTGAATACTTTCCACAACATTGCTCTAGAGGTCTGTGTTAGTTGGGCAAGGGCTGTGGGTAGCCTCACCAGTCTTGTGGATGGAAACCTAACCCTTGTCCTTTGCTCTCCCAGACCAGTGACAAGCACCGAGAGTTTGCCATGGAGGCCGCCTGTATCTCTGACACCTTGGGAATCTCCATGTCAGGGGTTCTAGCCTTGCCTCTGCATGACTTCCTCTGCCATCTCCCTTGACATGGGTTGCTCAGAACACACTGACATCTGTGAACTCTGCCACAGACCTTCCTAGCTAGGCTGGGGAGTGGGAAGAGCCGCAGTCCTGCCCTGCTCCAGCAAGGAGCCCCCATTGTTTCCCACTCCCGAGCTGGTCTCTGGGACTTCTCTCTCAGCCTTATGCCCTTCTAATAAATGCTTATTTTATCAGTGTACCTTTTGTGTAGCGTAGCAAGCTTTCTTGTCAGACTATCTTTGGATCACCAGCCCCCAAATAATGACACGGAGACAACTTATTAATTATGAAAGCGTGGCCTTAGCTTAGGCTTTTCCCCTACCAGCTCTTAGAACTCAATTAACCTGCTTCTATTAATCTACCTTCTATCACAAAGCTCAGTTACCTCTCCTCCGTACTGTATGTCCAGCTTGTTTCATGTATTCTTAGTGTCTCTGCCTTTCTTTTTCCCAGCATTCTCCCTCTCCCTGGAAATTCTGCCTATTCTCTCCTGCCTAGCTATTAGCCATTCAACTTTTTATTAAACCAATTACAGTGATACATCTTCACACAGTGTGTACAAATATTCCACAACATTTCCTCCCTTTTGTCTAAATAAAAAGGAAAGGTTTTAAATCTAACATAGTAAAACTATATGCAAATAAGAACAATTATCAGGTAAGAATTACATTCACAATGTTCAGTCCATTTGTAATTGGTATATTTGGAGGAAATACTCCCATTATCTATCCTATCTTGGTGAGTCCAAAGTTTTATACCTAAACCACTTTTTTTTTTTTTTTTTTTGGTTTTTCGAGACAGGATTTCTCTGTGTAGTTCTGCACCTTTCCTGGAACTCACTTTGTAGACCAGGCTGGCCTCGAACTCACAGAGATCCGCCTGGCTCTGCCTCCCAAGTGCTGGGATTAAAGGTGTGCACAACCACCGCCCGGCCTAAACCACTTTCTATCATAACTTGTATTACCAACCTAAAAATACCTTTTTAAACTTAACATTTTCTTAGATGAACAACTTAAGCTTTTATGTCTTTCAACTTTATGCACTTTACATCTCTTTTGTAAGTTTCTTTTCTGAATTTAGTAACACAGAAAACTGTAACTATAACTATCTAGTCTTTAATGCCATTGAAGACCCAAGAAGGATGTAACATTACCTAATTAAATAGGAAGTGCTCACTTCACTGCTGCCGCTGGCCCACACTCAGACATTTTTATCTCTAATGCTGCTTTGTACTATGGTTTCTCCATCTGATTGCTGGATTCGGTTTTGCAGGGATTCAGGTCTTTTGGTTATGGATAATATTAAAATTGTTATAATCTGTTCTACTTTATTAAAAATCTGGCTCTGGAGTTGGGCTATGGCCTCCCTCTCATGACCCAAGCATGCTTGTTTAAAAATTTTCCTCAAAAATCACTGTCCTGTGTCAGGAGGCCATCTGATTGTAGGACAGAGGAAAAACAAAGAACAACAAAAACAGCCCAAGAAAGGACTCTGTGTGCTTTAAACCAGCTAAAATATAAACTTTGTGTACTTTAAGATTTGTAAGCTAAAAAAAAAAAAAAAAAAGCCGGGCGGTGGTGGCGCACGCCTTTAATCCCAGCACTCGGGAGGCAGAGCCAGGCGGATCTCTGTGAGTTCGAGGCCAGCCTGGACTACCAAGTGAGTTCCAGGAAAGGCGCAAAGCTACACAGAGAAACCCTGTCTCGAAAAACCAAAAAAAAAAAAAAAAAAAAAAAAAAAAAAAGATTTGTAAGCTTATTGGATATGGTTAAAACTCTGTAAATAAAATAAAAAAAAAACTGGATGCCAACATTTCTGAGTTCCTATAGATGTCTGGTTGTTATAATTTTCTGTTTAATGGCTTCTAGGTTACAGATATTTACATTATTCAAAAAATTCAAAGTCAACACAACCCCATACAGGATCCAGACTCTGTGTATTTCCCATCTTTACGTAGCTTTTTTCCTTTATATTACTTTACTCTCTCTTTAAAGACTATTCTTTTTAAACTATTTATTTTTTCCTGTGACTGTCTATACCCATTTTCTTTTCTTTCCTAAGTCTCTGCATATTTTTAAACACACTGTAATTGTTTAAAGGATTTCTCCTTTTGGACCAGGCACTGCAGCATACACCTACAGTGCATACACCTAAACTCCAAATCTTCAGGGGCTGAAGTGGAGAATCTCAAGTTTAAGCCAGCCTGGACTTCATAGTGAGATTCTGGGGTTTGGAGCAGGAAAGAGGAAGAGAGGAAAGAAGAAAAAAGGAAGGAAGACTTTATTTGTTGAGATGGGGACTTACTATAAGCCTGAAATGTTCAATCGTCCTACTCCAGTCTCCTGACTGCTGGAATTACAGGCCTATGCCAACCTGTTGGTACTCTTTTACTCCTTTAGGGAGCCCACCACCCACCTCCCAAATAAATCACACAGAGGCTTATTCTTTCTTATGAATGCCCAGCCTTAGCTTGGCTGGTTTCTAGCCAGCTTTTCTTATTTTTTTTTTTCCGAGACAGGGTTTCACTGTGTAGCTTTGCGCCTTTCCTGGAACTCACTCTGTAGTCCAGGCTGGCCTCAAACTCACAGAGATCCACCTGCCTCTGCCTCCCGAGTGCTGGGATTAAAGGCGTGCGCCACCACCGCCCGGCTTAGCCAGCTTTTCTTAACTATAATTATCCCATCTATCTTTTGCCTCTGGGCTTTTACCTTTCTCTATTTCTGTGTATCCTACTTTCACTCTTATTCCATGACTGGCAGGTGGCTGCATGGCTGGCTCCTAGCATTCTCTCCTCCTCATTTTCTTGCTCCTCTCATATTTCTCCTCCCATTTATTCTCTCTGCCTGCCAGCCCCACATATCCTCTCTCCTGCCTTGCTATTGACCGTTCAACTCCATATTAGACCAATCAGGTGTTTTAGACAGGCAAAGTAACACAGTTTCACAGAGTTAAATAAGTGCAACATAAAAGAATGCAACACCTTTGCCTCATTAAAAAAGTGTTCCACAGCATAAACAAAAGTAACACATCTTTAATATTCCACATCATGCACGTGCGCACGCGTGCTTTTGGTAGTTATAGTTAGGTCTTGTTACAGCTATTCTAGTGAGTGTGGCATCTCACTTTGACTTTTGATTTGTATTTCCTCTATTGGTAAAGATGTTGGACATAAAATAATTTTTTTTTAATTTTTGTTTGTTATGGGAAGTCACACGTGAAAGATTTAGAACTGTGGCCTTGCCAGGCTTGGAGGCCCATGCCTTTAACCTCAGCACTCCAGAGGCAGAGGCCAGAGGACTTCAGAGTTCAAGGCTAACCTGGCTTACAGAACAAGTTCCAGGACAGCCAGGGTTACAAAGAGAAACACTGTCTTAGAAAAAAAAAAAAAAAAAAAAGAACAGAAATATTTATGGCCTTGTTAGAGGAGATGTATCACTGGTTGGAGGCTTTGAGTTTTGAAAGCCCATGTTTTTCCCAGTTTCTCTCTCTCTCTCTCTCTCTCTCCCTCTCTCCCTCCTTCCCTCCCTCCCTCTTTGTTGTGTAATCTCTCAGCTCCTGCTCCAGTGCCATGAGCCATGCTCTCTGCCCTGATGGTCATGGACTCACTCTCTGAAACTCTATGTCTTAATAAACTCTTTCTTCTATAAGTTGCCTTGGTCATACATGGTTTCTTCACAGCAACAGAAAAGTGCCTTAGTCCTGAGAGCTGCAAGCAGGCATGTGCACACACAAAGACTGACACACAGGCCACAAAGAGGTAGGCACACATACCCACAGACAGATGCACGCAGCTAGGCAGGCAAAGGCGAAGCCTCAGGCCTCTGATATTGTGGGGTATTTGTACACTGTGTGGAAATATATTGCTGTGGTTGGTGTAATAAAAAGCTGAATGGCCAATAGCTAGGCAGGAGGTTTAGGTGGGACTTATGGGCAGAGAGAGGAAGTAGGAAGAGGAATCTAGGTGCATGGTGGAGATGCCAGGAAACACAGAGAGGAAACAGGAGGTGCAAGATGGAAGAGAGGTAATGCCATGGGATAGAACATAGATTAATATAAGTGGGTTAATTTAAATTATAAGAGTTAGTGGGACAAGCTTAAGCTAAGGCTGAGCTTTCATAATTAGTAATAAATCTCCGTGTTGTTATTTGTGAGCTGGCAGCCCAAAGAAAAATCTGACTATATATGGTGCTCAATGTGGGGCCTTGAAGAGCCAAACACAGGGCCTGAGAAAGCTAAGAAAAGTTCTGGACAAGGAGATGGGTGTGGATTCCTAGTCCTGCAGTCTCTCAGGTGTGCCAGTGCTTGGAGGCATACAGAGACATGGCTCCCAGCCACTGCCTATGGGTTGGAGCCAGTTGCCAGTGCCAGCCACCAGTGCCAAACGCTAAGCTAAGCCATGTGGAGGCTGACATAGCAGTTTAAGATTTGTCTCCATGGTCAGGGAACACTACAGGCACTTAGTAAAGCCAGGTCCAGACAAAGAAAACCTCTAAAACGTTTAAAAATGTGCTTAGATGCTGAAGAAAAGAAAATGGGTATAGACAGTCATAGAAAAAATAGTTTAAAAATATTAAAATCTTTAAAGAGAGAAAAATAATATTTTAAAAAGCCACGTAAGGATGAGAAATACACAAGGTATTTGGATCCTGTACAGTACTTTGTTGACTTTGAATTTTTTCAATGCTAATGAGCAAAGGATAGCTGCTGAGAGACACTGGATGACAGAAAGGACAGCTGGATTAAACCAGCCTATATACTTTAGAAATGTCTTGGCTTCAAAATGGATGCGGGAAGTGTGTTGCATTGGGGGAGAGGTTATGCCTTTGTTTCCACAGGAAACAAAAAGTTGTGGTTCTCTTCAAAATTAATAAAGATCAAATTTGATTGGGGGAGACCTGAAAATCTTGGCTACAGACATGAAAAAAAAAAAACCAAGAAAGACTACAGGACAGGTGACGTGTATGCTGACCCCTCTACTATGGGAACAGCTCTGAGACGGGATGAGACATGATAAATCTTGTTGGTTACATAGTCCTCATGACTTACTATTACATGCCATCCTTCCGTATGGCATGAATAGAGATTTATATGACAGTTTGGTTATAAAGTCCAAAGAAACTTATAAAGTTGACAGATGCCTTTTACCTGCTCAAATATAAAACAAAAAATCATCTTTAACTGACTTGTATACACTGTACA